AAATACTGAAAATTAGGAGGTACCGTTATATGGGGGCTACCAGAAAAAGTGGACCTATATTTATAATTTTTTGTGGGGACATTAAGTACCCAATAAGAACCCAATGTACCAAATTTCAGCGTATTCGGTTGAAAAACGCGCCCAAGAACCTCAAAATACCGAAAATTGGGGGGTACTGTTATATGGGAGCTATGTCTAAACGTGGACCGATATATCCTATCTTCGAACTTGACCTGCCTGCAGACAAAAGACAACCCTATGCAAAATTTCAGCATCCTATCTCAATTCCTTCAGAAGATAGCGTGATTACAACAGACGGACGGACGGACGGACAGACGGACGGACATGGCTAGATCGTCTTAGAATTTTACCCTGATCAAGAATATATATACTTTATAGGGTCGGAAATGAATATTTCGATGAGTTACAAACGGAATGACAAAATTAATATACCCTCCATACTATGGTGGAGGGTATAAAAATTTTTGGTAGAGAGATTTGTTACCATATACGACTACAAATTACCAAATTGCAGCAAATTCGGTTGAAAAATGCGCTCAAGAACCCCAAAATACCGAAAATTGGGGGTACCCTTATATGGGGGCTATCCGAAAAAATGGACCAATATTCATAATTTTTGGTGGAGAGATTTGGAACCTATTAGGAACCCAATGTACCAAATTTCAGCGTATTCGGTTGAAAAACGCGCTCAAGAACCCCAAAATTCCGAAAATTGGGGGGTACCCTTATATGGGGGATATCCGAAAAAAATTCACATATGTTTATAATTTTTTGTGGAGAGATTTGGTACATATTAAGAACTCGAAATACTAAATTATAGCCAATTCGGTGGAAAAATACAATCAAAACCCCCAAAATACTGAAAATTAGGAGGTACCGTTATATGGGGGCTACCAGAAAAAGTGGACCTATATTTATAATTTTTTGTGGGGACATTAAGTACCCAATAAGAACCCAATGTACCAAATTTCAGCGTATTCGGTTGAAAAACGCGCCCAAGAACCTCAAAATACCGAAAATTGGGGGGTACTGTTATATGGGAGCTATGTCTAAACGTGGACCGATATATCCTATCTTCGAACTTGACCTGCCTGCAGACAAAAGACAACCCTATGCAAAATTTCAGCATCATATCTCAATTCCTTCAGAAGATAGCGTGATTACAACAGACGGACAGACGGACGGACGGACGGACGGACATGGCTAGATCGTCTTAGAATTTTACCCTGATCAAGAATATATATACTTTATAGGGTCGGAAATGAATATTTCGATGAGTTACAAACGGAATGACAAAATTAATATACCCTCCATACTATGGTGGAGGGTATAAAAAGGGGGTTATATGGGGACTACCCCAAAAAGGGGGTGAATATTAAAAATTTTTGGTAGAGAGATTTGTTACCATATACGACTACAAATTACCAAATTGCAGCAAATTCGGTTGAAAAATGCGCTCAAGAACCCCAAAATACCGAAAATTGGGGGTACCCTTATATGGGGGCTATCCGAAAAAATGGACCAATATTCATAATTTTTGGTGGAGAGATTTGGAACCTATTAGGAACCCAATGTACCAAATTTCAGCGTATTCGGTTGAAAAACGCGCTCAAGAACCCCAAAATTCCGAAAATTGGGGGGTACCCTTATATGGGGGATATCCGAAAAAATTCACATATGTTTATAATTTTTTGTGGAGAGATTTGGTACATATTAAGAACTCGAAATACTAAATTATAGCCAATTCGGTGGAAAAATACAATCAAAACCCCCAAAATACTGAAAATTAGGAGGTACCGTTATATGGGGGCTACCAGAAAAAGTGGACCTATATTTATAATTTTTTGTGGGGACATTAAGTACCCAATAAGAACCCAATGTACCAAATTTCAGCGTATTCGGTTGAAAAACGCGCCCAAGAACCTCAAAATACCGAAAATTGGGGGGTACTGTTATATGGGAGCTATGTCTAAACGTGGACCGATATATTCTATCTTCGAACTTGACCTGCCTGCAGACAAAAGACAACCCTATGCAAAATTTCAGCATCCTATCTCAATTCCTTCAGAAGATAGCGTGATTACAACAGACGGACGGACGGACAGACGGACGGACGGACGGACGGACGGACATGGCTAGATCGTCTTAGAATTTTACCCTGATCAAGAATATATATACTTTATAGGGTCGGAAATGAATATTTCGATGAGTTACAAACGGAATGACAAAATTAATATACCCTCCATACTATGGTGGAGGGTATAAAAAGGAGTTTTTAACTTTTGGCTTCGATTTTTCAAAATTTCAAATGGGCTAATAAGATTACGAAACTAACTGTATTTTTCACGATATTAAATAGTATTTTTAAGTCATTTTATGTTTTAATAACTTTTGATCTAAATTTTTAAAATTTTGAACATTTTTTATATATTTTTTAATGAATTAATGCATTTCTGATATTTATGAATAAAATACATACATATTTGAACATAAACACTGTAAAAAACCATATCGTTAAAAAATGTCAATCCCTGTTCAAAGGTGCCCCCCTGGGGGGGGGGGGGGGGCAGTTTTGAACACTCTGAGTTCGTCCATTAAAACGGTAATAAAATATATTTATCAAGCTTATAGTATGTCATATGTGTATTCATTTTAAAGGTTACATATGTACCTATTAGTTAAATTTTATAAGAAACCAAAAATGATAAAATAAAAAATTTTATAAGGCTTGAAAGCAAAAAGTGTTCAAAGGTGCCCCCTCTCCCCTAATCATTTTTGGGAAGGACATTTGTTAAGACATAAAACTTGCAAAACGAGTTCCAGATCCCAAAATATTTTATTGGAGATATTTGGTACCCAATAGGAACACAATGTACAATTTTGAGCGAATTCGGTTGAAAAATGCGCCCAAGAACCCAAAAATACTGAAATTGGGGGATATATGGGAGCTGTGCCTAAACGTGGACCTATATACATCCCATCTTCGAACTTGATATGCCTACAGATAAAATACAACTCTGTGCAAAATTTTGGCGATCTATTTCTATTAGTGATTACAGCAGACAGACGGATATGGCTAGAGTTACAAACGGAAAAATAAACTTAATAGACCCTCCATACTATTGTGGAGGGTATCAAAATATGGAAAAGCTTCACCAATTGGGTTTATCCTACACAGTAAATCGGCGATATCTTAAAAAGTTGTTAAGATTTTCACTTGAAATTTTATAGGATTCAATTTTTAGAAACCGAGAATGGGGTCCCCTGTAAGTGAATAAGAACTGTGAGGTGGCATCTTACCATATGATAAAACTACGGAACCTGTGTGGTTGTGGTAATATTCAAACATATAAAATATTTAAAACCCTTTAAAATTTGATGTATATCTTTCATACACGCCCTCTAACATCAAGTTAGATTGGTTTGAAAATAGTTGTTCGATACTGGGACAAACACTTAAACTAATGAAAAGGTATGTTGTGCGCTCTAGAAAGGAAAGATAGAAGAACACATCTTGAGAGCTTCTTGGGATTTTGTGTTCTTAGTGAAGTCCTTCAGTCTTTTCTATTTATATCCAAGAATTGGGTTCGAAGACTTGCTAAAACTGGGAAGTTGCATATGAAAACGGTCAAACCTTTTACTGTATTTCCCACACGCTCTGTACCTACTGCTACACTTGCACCCAATCTTTTGTAAATGTGCGTTCAAGCTGAGATGTTCTTTGAGAATACCCGTAAGTCTGCTGATTTCTATTTTGCTAGGCATAAATATTTGCTTAGTTTTATCTCCATAAAATTGTTGGGATCCTTCCAGTCCCCTCGTTATTCCAAAAAATTTTGTGGGTCTCTATCGCCCATGACCTCATTTCTAGTCGTGTTGCTCTAAAAGGTTTTGCGTTGTGTACAGCTAAATGGGTAGACAGTGTTGGACACGTAGTGCACCCTACCCTTAGTCTTACCCAGACTTGTCATTGAAGATCTGCTCAAGCCGGCCACAAGGAGAGTTCCTATTTTGTACCATAAATGCCTTGTTCTGCCGATCAAAGTCTTCGCTACCCCAAACTCTGATGAAGACCGAAGCCTTTTGTAGTTGAGTAATGTCTGTTTTCTTTATCAGTCCAATTGTCGGGCTTGTGTAGACAATACTTGCTACTAGTTTTCTCAGGGCTTCTACGCTCGTTGATGACTTAAATTTTAGGATTGAATTATCATCTACCTTTGAATTATCATCTATTCAGATCAATGGCGACCGCTTCACAGCGTGTGCTCCAAGATTTATTATTAACCGCATCAATAACCTCCTTATGGGTCTCCTATTTTAGATCCTCCAACGCACTATTCACATTGATTATTGCATATCAAATCATAGTAATTAATTTTTGTAACACTCATTCGTATCTACCATCCCCATGTTAAGACTCAGAATTTGGATTTCAGTTCCCACCTACTTGGGAGGGTTAGCCGAGATTGCTCTTCGCCCATATTTTTTAAACCCACAGTTTTAGTCCGCTGAGCCTCTAAAGGTGGGTGGACAACTATAACATAACCTCCAGATTTATCTGATTGCAATAGATTAGTGTCATTATCTACCTTCCCCCTATCCACCACCAGCGGTCGCGATATTTAGGAGACTGACAAATCCCTCTAACAGCAAATCTCACCGATCAAGTTTTCCCGAAATACACATATATCCCATAGATTGAACAATTTCCACAAACAAGTCTGGTTTCGCTTAACACGTAGAATGTTGTCCAATCATCACATAGCTATGCTTCTTCGTTGGCCAGATCTCCTCCGCCCATTTAAATTTTAGATCCACACAAACATATAATACACCACAACATAACAGTGTATAGTATAAACATAAATATAAACGATTTTTGTAGCATATAAAAAACATATATATTTATTTAAAATTTATATCATTTCCTACGATTTAATTTTAAAGATTTTCTATAGAAAATATATTCTTCAAGTAGCTTCTTGTTCAATGGACCCCATTTGGAAGATGGTCGTAAGGCATTTTTGAATCGCTGCAAATAAAATCAATTATTGTTTATGTTAACCCATAGAAAAATGCAATACTTACTGTTCTAAAACTGTCTCCAGGTTGTTTACGATATTCATATAAAAACCAAATTGGAACTTGGCCTACACCTACCGCCCACAGCAACCACCCTAAAGCATAATAAATCATTGGATATGTTTCACCTTTGTACGTCAATGGAGTATAATTTATCAGCGAATATAATAAAACACCCATCATAAGGCCCGGTGTAACGAAAGTCCAACAAATTCTCCAATAGTAACCGGTTTTAATGCCCAACATAAATTCAATATCCTCGCAAAGGCGTTTGGTACCTGGAAATAATTAACATTTTAAATTCCATTTAAAATATTGAAATTTCTTTTTGGTTTTTCTCACCATATATCCATGCAAATGAAATTAATTCCGCAATTGCCAAAACTAAAGCAATAAATGAACAACCAAAGAAATCGACTAAATTCAAAATATATTGTCCGGCCGGAGTTATGTAAATTATGCCGCACAAAAATCCTAACATTGATAATATAGCCGCCACTTTCCAATGTGGAATATTGGGAAAACGATCTTTAATCACGGTCATTACACACGACACCATACCGACATTACTACCCACACCCAATACGAGGAGCATGAAAAAGAATAGAACTGCAAACAATTGAGGCAGATATTTAAATTTCGCTATGGCCTCTGGATATGAGATGAAAGCCAAACCAGCGCCACCCTTTACAACACTGCCGATATCTGTCGTTTGTGATTCATAGGCCAAGTTACCAAGTATTCCGAAAATAATACAACCCGATAGTAGAGAGGTTAGCGAATCGATGCTTGTTATAATCATAACGTCTCTGAAAGACAAAATTTGTAAATATTTTATTTATGTAATGTAAAATTAGGGATCTTACCGGTGCACATTTTTCCGAAAATCGTTAAATGAGGCATACATTATAAGGGTACCAAAACAAATGGCCAAGGAGAAAAACATTTGCGTTATGGCATTATACCAAACCTGAAATATGGAGGGAAAACATATTTTATGTTAAAACTAGTAAAACCAATACGGAAAGTAGTAAAGTCGGACTGGGCCGACTATATGATACCCTTCACCACTATGATACCCTTCACCGACCCTTCACCACTTTGGGTTTATTGTACATATGTATCCTAACAATTTCACCTCGATGTTTCTTCGAAGAACCATACACATGGGACATACGAAAGCGACTCATTCGGGCAGATTTAGAGTCGCTTGCGTACAATGGGAGAAATGTATTGAAATCGATTTTTAGCAAAGTTGATACATGCTATTCGGTATGCCGCACTGTTAAAAAATTAATCTCTATCAGACACTCGTTCGAAATATATATAGAAGCTATGCCTGCAACTGCCAATTTCATCAAAACGCAACGTGTCAATCGGACAAACATTAGGAGTGCACCATTTACCTAAAATCGGACGAAAATATGTATGGGAGCTATATATAAATTTGAACCGATTTCCTCGAAGGTTTACACACATCTCTCTAACCTCAATGCAGTACGCTGTGCCAAATTCCGTGGAAATATAAAGCTACAAACGGGCTAAGGTATACCATTTACATTAAATCGGACGAAAATATATAGGAGAGATATATCTAAATCTGAACCAATTTTCACGAAACTTAACACACATCACTCTAGACTTTATTCAGTACGCAAAAATTGTATAAGGCCGATAGGTTACATCACGCTGAATAACATCTTAGATATGCATATTTAGCTTAGGATACATCAGATCCTTTTATAACATCAATGACCTTAAGCAAGCGCATGCAGGAGCGAAATGCTATAATGTCAAAATCCTATTGATGAATTGTAATCCCTAATACAGTCAACATTAAATCAAACTATCGAAGGTGAAGACAGGTCACATGATGAGAGCGATGAGTTCAATCAATTCAATATATTAAAAACTTAAAGGGTTAACTTATAAAAAAATGTTCCATTATTCTTCCAGAAGGTTAAGAAAGCAATTCTACATACAATTATTTCAATGTTTTGACTTTTAGCCACAAAAATGCCAGTTTGACCTATAGTGGAATGGACCGATGAGTCCCATCCGTTCCGTGCGCTTCATATGAGATTTATTAAATGGGCCGATATTCCCATCTTCGAACTTGATTATAGTTTAAAAGAAACATTACGATGTGCAAAACTTGATTAAAACCGGTTACACCCTTTGAGAATTATCATGTAGTAGTCTCCATGTCACGGTACCCGCCATTATTCATTATTTTGGATTTCCATTTAGTGTCAAATCTTCCTAACAAAAAATTATCACCACTTCATGGTGTATGGTATAGCAAGTTCGTACCTGCTTAATGACAATTTTGCTAGTTTATTTTCCAATCTTAATTGTATACTCACCTTTGGATTTAACAGCTCCTTCCATTGAGGTTTCAAAAAGAATACAATACCATCCCAAGAACCCGGCAATGTTAAGGCGCGTGCAAGCAAGACAAACATGACAGCATATGGGAATAGGGCCAAAAAGTATGATGCTTTACCGGAACTTCGTATACCTTTGCATAAAATTATACCAATTATAAGCCATGCCACGAACAAACAAAACACTAAATCCCAGCCAGGTGCGCCCAAGCCATCTTCCAGAGAATCCGTTTCACGTAAAACTTCTTTCGAGAAAAATAATTCAGCTGAAGAAAATCGCTTGGTTTGATTATTTCCCACGGTGGCATTCTCTGATGCCGAAAAACAAAATGAAGACCATTCGGGTCGGCAATAAGTCCATGGAAGTTTGTTGGCAAACGAAGAGAACAAATATTTCAGAGTCAAGGCCATAATGCAGGCATAGTAGGTGGTGCCCATTGTCGTGGCAAAAACTTGTCCATAAGCAACGCCTATAAAATTGGGAATATGAAGAAAGATTTGACAAAAACAAAAATGCATTTCAATCAAAAATTATTAAATATTCTCCACTACCTCTCATTGCGGGAACCATATCGAATGCTCGAATACAACTTCTGCTAGAAAATTGTCCAATTATAATTTCCAAATAATAGATGGGTCTGCCAATTAATAGCAGCACAATTATGTAGGGTATAACAAAGGCTCCACCACCATTTTCCAAGGCAATGAAGGGAAAACGCCACACATTTCCCAAACCCACCGACAGGGCTATGCAGGAAAATAAGAACTCAATATTGTTACCCCATTTCTCGCGACCATGTTCCGAAGTAAGTGGATTTTTACTCTGAAAATCAAAACATCTAAGACAGAAGATCACCAAAAACTATGTAGATTGACCAACCTCATCTGCCTGAAGGAAGTGTCCAACTTCATCATTATTTTCCACAGATGTCGCAGCAGCTTCTTTGTCGATGTCATCCAT